GGTTTTCCATCCCTCTCTGAAGGACTTTAAGCCACCCTGTGTGATCCCTGACCACCCTCATGCTGGGAGCTCCAGCTCCTGGTCCCACACCAGGCTATGGACAACCAGAGAAGGGGGTTCCTGCCCCCAGTGCCACCCAAACCTGCAAAAGCTGGGGAAGGGAAGGTGGCGAGTGGGGATGTGGTTTGTACCAGCCCAGTGCTGGCCCAGAGGTTGTGGGTGCAGCTCCATCTCTTTTCCCTCGAGCTTTGCACAAGGTCTCAGCTTCTTGGCCAAGGAAAAAGCACTGTCAAGGCTGTGAGTAGCCAAGAGGTCACCTCCAAGAGTGGTCCTTGTGCAGGTGCATCCACCACATCCCCCTTGGCCTCTCCCCTGCTCCTGCTCCTGCTCCCACCACCATCCCAATCATCCCAATCATCCCCATCATCCCAATCATCCCCATCATCCCAATCATCCCCAATCATCCCAATCATCCAGCCATCGTGGCGGGGAGCCTGTGGATCCCGTGGCTGCCGGGCTGGCTGGGCACAGGCTCCCAGCCCTGCTTTCATTCCCCAGCCTGTAAACACGGCGCTGCTTCCATGTGGTTCAGCCATCGCCGCTGTGGGGGCTGCAGCTTCCCGGCCGGGGTGGGGCCGGCAGCTGGGGGCTGGAATTGCTTCAGCCACCCGGCTTTAATCCACCTCTGTGGGTGAGTCAGCGCCCCCGGGGGCTCAAGTTGAGAGCTTCGGCTCACTATATATAGTCGGTGGGGCTGCTCGGAGGCACCTCGGGAGCTGCCCCTCCCCGCCGGCTGCCCGGGTACCACAGGCAGGGAGAAGTACCCCGAGATGGGGAGTTAAGCAAACCTGTTTTACCTAATGCTGGGCCCAGACAAGGAGCCCACCTGTGGTTGCCTGGTGCAGTTCATCCGTGGCTGAGGCAACTTCTCAAACCACTTGAATTCCCTCCTAAGACGCGTCTGCCGGCGCCGTCTCGCGGTGCAGCCCTGGGAGCCAGAGTTCACCCTCCCACCCCACAGGGTCACCACACTCTGCTCCTAGTCTGGGGGGCTGCCTGTGTGTCCCCTGTGCCTGCAGCCAGGCGCTGCTTTGGGGGACCAGGTGTCCCCATCACCCCACAGCATCTCCCCCGGCGTCGCGGCTGCTTTTCGTGGACCCGCCGCTCCCGTTTGCAGGGGGCAAATATTTGAGCTGCCCTGGCAGTTGTGCCTCAGGCAGAGCCATCCCTGCATGGGATGCAGGTGCCCTTTAGGGCTGAAGCTCCTGAGCATCAGCAGAGAGGACCCAAACCTCCCTGCCAGCGAGGTGATGGAGAAGATGGCTTTAAATTTGGGCTCCCTTTGTGCCTGCTGAGCACACTTGGCTGGTGGCAGCGATGTAGCAACTCCCCAGCACACATGTTAGTGGTTTTGAGGGCTGAATTGGACCTTGAGAATTAGCAGCCTTGTAAGTCAATAACAACATGTCCTAATGAATGCAAGATGTCCCTAGGAAATGAAAGCTCCTCTGCTTGACTGGGAGCCTGTGACTGGGAGAGGACCAGTAAACAAGAAGGAATGTTTCGACTGGAGATGAGCAGGAGATACAAACTCGACGTCTAGAGATTACAAACACACCCCAAATGTGGGTGGTGGCGGCAGGGGGGGGGAGCACGAGCCATTTGCAGTTGTGAAATGCAGTGGTGTCTGTCTCCTGGCCATCCCCTGAGTCTCCTGGCCATCCCCTGGGTCTCCTGGCCATCCCCTGGGTCTCCCTCGGGTGGGCTGGGCTCTGGAACACGGCTGGGAAACCCAGGAATGTCGCTCCTGCCCCTCACCATCACTGTGCAGGGTGGGATGACTCCAGCAGCCCCCTTCCGAGATCCCTGTGCCCACTGTCACCTGCAGCCTGGCTGCTTTCAGCCCCTTCCCACCCTCACTGCCAGTGCTGGTTTCACCATTTAACTTTTCCACATGGAAATTCCTCCCCTTCTCAGGCCTGCAGACATCCCAAGCGTTAGCACTGCTCTGCATCCTGAGTTTTTATCCTCCCACTGCCTCAAAATGAGCAGTTTGATCATTCCCTAATTGCACCCTACAAGGACACAGGGCTCTGCTGTGTCAGGAGGCATCAGGAGTGTCTGCCCAGGGCTCTGGGCCTTGAAGCCTTCACTGGCTGCCACTGCCACCCCCCTCTAATGCCCCCCAAAATGTCCTGTGCCATCCTGGCAGCCCAGTGATTGCTCCCAGGCAGGCAGCTCGCTCAGTTAAACCCTGCAAACATGGGTGATGCTCAGGGGTAACTCTGTACCTCGAAGGAACGGGGCTCTTCACCCCCCCACAGGGCAGCAGCAGTGGGATTTTGGGATGGGGGTGGCCCTGAGCTGCTCAGCATCACTGGGAGCACTGGAGTTCATGGTCTGCACGTGCAGCCAGGGCTGTGCTGCCTCTTTGCACATCACCCCGGGTCAACCCCCCTGTCCTGCCCGGCCAGTTGGCGTGGTGGGGACGTGGGGCCCTGCTGGTAAAACCACTCCAGGACAAGATCTAGGAAAAGGCCAGCCTGGTTTCATGGCTGTCTCCTCCTCCTTGCTCTGAAGTCACTGCAGTTTCAGGTAAGTTTAACAGGTGATTTGTATTCACCACCATTAAGGGCAGTGCTCACCGCTCTGTCCTGCAGGCTGGCTGCACACCACAGGGAACTGCTCGTTGACCCCAAGCTTTCCTCTGCCCAATTATCCTGGTTAGCTTGCAGGCAGCCTCGGGAGCGGGGCAGGGAACAGGTCACACCGAGGGACTCGTCCTCCCGTGCCCCTGCCTGCCCTCAGGCTGGGGGCAGGTGCTGGGCAGGGGTGGCTCCTGGAGGGTGTCAGGTCACAGCAGCCTCAAAGCCAGTTGGGAAGAGGAAAGTTCCAGTCCTGGGACACCCCTTGAGCACCTGCACTGGTGTGTGGCACACCCTGACCGGGCTGGTGCTGACCCAGAGCAGCTGGCACAGCCCTGATGTGGCTCGTGGAGCATCACCAGTGCCGTGACCCCACAGGACGGGTGACATTCTCCTCACAGGACTTTCTCCTGTGGCCATTGGCACCCTGGGGTACCTGTGCTGAGTGGCCAGAGCAAGTGGCTGGACCTCAGGGTTGCCTCTGGCAGACGGGACCTCGTGGGTCTTGTCCCTCAACCCAACTGTTTGCCCCAAACCCGCAGGAGCCCAACGCCTGCGAGACCTCAAGGGCCGGAGCTGTTCCAGTGCTGTGATTCCCATCCAGAAGCCCCAAAAGTGGACGTGGGGGTGAAACTGGGAGACCTGAGACCCGCTGCCACCCACGAGCACGTGAGTCCTCGGCAGGAGCAGGGAGGGGGACACGGGAACGGCGGCGTTGCCCAATCCACGCGCATGGAAATGAACTGCTTTGTGCGCAGAAAAAGCCCTGGTCGTGCAGAGGCGCTGGGTGTGTGCTCGTGTGGGTGTTCAGACTCTGCAGGAGCGACCTGGGATGCCTGGAAAAAAAAAAAAAATCCCCTTTGTGCATTTAATTAGCGGTAAACGCCATTTACATGCGAGATGCCTCTCGGTCTGAATCTGCCTGGTTGATTAGCAAACTGCAGCCCGGTTGTGTCGTGCACTTTGTTTGCCTCAGCCCGAGCGCAGCAGAGCTCCCTGCCTTTGCATTTCAAAGCCGGGCAGGGGCCGGGGGTTGTTGCACAACCGGGACGGGACAGGTGCCCCGGGATTTTGGCCCCTGCTCCCTCTCATCCCCACTTTCTTTCCCTGTGAGCTGGGGGCGGTGCAGCCGCTCGGTGCGGGATCAGCTCCCTGCTCTGGCGGGAGGTGGGTCCGGCCAAGGGAAACGGGATTGTGCCAGGGCACGGACAGCGAGGGGACAGCCGGGGGACCGCGCTGCTCTCTGGCCGCTGTGCCAAGCAGACGTGGTGCTGCTCCAGCGCTCCCAGAACGCGCTGGTTCTGCTGCCAAACAAGGGGCTTCTCCAAGTGGAAAAAGTCCTGCAGAGTCTCGGTGAGGCAGAGAGGGAGGCAGAGAGGGGAGCGGGGGTGCTCCGTGGGCACCACTGGAACGGTGGTGCTGGGGTCGGTGCCTCCCTCCTGCCTTCCCACTGTGCATTTCCCTGGCAGTGCCACCCGTGCCACGTCCTCGGCCACGGCAGGGCTGTGACCCCACGGCTGCTCCGTCCTGCCGGTGGCTGTGGCCCCGCAGAGTGGCTGGGGCAGCTGCCCAGACCTGTGTGTTGCTTCCTGTGGTCACTGCAAACCATTCCCAGGAAACCAGGAGCGTGTGGGTTTTGGTTCAGGTCCCTTTTCGGCTCCTCTCTCCCCTCTGGTGCCTGGCTTCTCCCCATCCATGAGGGATGGGTGGTGGGATGGGTCCTGGGAGATGGGAAGGGGCAAAGCACGGCTGGTGCAGAGCAGGGTGTGAGTCCACAGGGTTGGGGCCCTAAAGGGAACTGCTCCTGCCCCCAGCTCCTTGTCCTGCTCCCTGACATGGCCAGAGAGGCTCTTCAACTGCTTCTCCACCCCTCAGAGATGGAGTGAGGAGGGGGACTGATGGGGAGAAAAGGAGAAAAGGATCCCCCCTGTGTTGCCCAGATTTCCTCCCCCTGCTGCAGAGCCAGGGTTGAAATCAATTCTGCATTTCTACCCTCTTGGAGAGAAAACAGGGGCTTCGTGGGCATTCCCAGCGTGCAGAGAGTGGATGTGGAGTGTTGGGATGGTTGAGCCTGGAGGCTACTGTGTCAAGCTGGACTTGGAGCAGCTCAGCCTTGGCACAGGCCCCACGAGGCCCTGGGTGACAGCCTGTGCTCCCACTTGCCACCTAAACAAAGCAGGAGCCACGAGAGGAGCGTTTCACCCAGTTTTGCCAAGACACAATGAGATGAAAGCAGTTGCCCGAGGTCATTCCATAAATCCAGGGCAGAGCTCAGATCCGAGGGAGCACCCTCCCTGTCCTCAGCCCAGCCCCACACAGCCCATCTGGGGCAGGTTTCTGTCTGCTCATCCTCTCCCTTTGTCTTGTCCATCACTTCCAACACTCTCAGGTGCTTTGATCTGCTCTCAGTGCCCAGGGCCAGCTTCTCCTCCGCTCCCAGGAGCTGGGCCGGCGGGCACCAGCCCTGCCCAGCCCCAAGGTCTCACCAGCTCCTTCCTAAGCTGAATCCCATGATGCTCTTTTGGCTTCTCCCACCCACTCCAAGTCCTTGTCCCCACAATTGAAGAGGTGCCTGAGGAAGGTAGGAGGCAGCCAAGGTCTTTTTGTTGAGCTGCAGAGGGACAGGGCTTGCTCTGGCCCTGATGCCCAGGTGCTTCAGGCCCTTTTTGAGGAAACAGGGGTGATCCAGGAGCCTTGTTTGGTTCCTGGCAATCACCTCTGCAGGGTTGGGGCAGGGCAAGGGTTCACTGGCAGCAGTGCCCCCTCTGCCCAGCACTGACAGGGAGATGTTGGATTCCCTGCATCCAGGCTCCCTGGGAAAGACCTGCCTTGGGCTCGTGCACGTGGCAAACCCTCTCCCATCTCAGCAGAGCTCAGTTTGACAGCAGTGCTCTGCCAGCTCCCTCTGCATCTCCCCCTGCCTGACTCAGCCAGGTCCCAGCTGGCCTCTGAGAGGAAAAAATCTGTCCCTGGAGCCACAAACCCTGTGGAGATGAGTAATCCCCTCCCTCTCCAGCTGTCCTGGGGCTCTGGTCACTGGGAAAGGGATTCCTTGTGTGGCTGCTGGCCCCGGGGTCAAGGGGACCAGCAAAGCCACCGTGGTCCAGACAGGATCCCTGCTCCTGACCCTGCATCCCTGCCAGCTTCACTCACGCTCCTCTGGGAGGCCTGGATGCTCCTGCTCCCCTTGGAAGGCTGTTTGGAGCTCCATGACACATCTGTCCCTCAGCAGTGTCCTGGCTGACAGATGCAGATGTCCAGGTCCTGTGGATGTTCCTGTCCCTGTGCTCAAGTGAGGCTGAGGCTCAGGGGAAAAAAAAAAAAAAAGGCAAAAAGGCTGGATGCAGCCCTGCCATCCCAGTGTGGATGTGTCCTTCCCACTCAGCCCAGCTTCTGCACAGCACATTTCTTAACCAGTGACTTTCTGGGCACCTTTCAGCATCCTTCTGTGGTGGCAACTGGCATGGAGGGAGTGGAATTTCCTCCTCCTGCTTGGTCCAGACCCAGAAGACCTCGCTGGAATTTTTAATTTGTTAATTTTTTTTTTTTTTATTATGACTTTATTTGCATTCATTTGGCTTTCCAGACAAGCTTTGGCCAGCGGGGTCGCTGGCATTTGTGGGAAATGAAGCTGGACTCCCCATGCCTGGGTTTTCCTGGCTGAACGTGGGCTCTGGCCAGCCCAGACTCACCCAGTGCCTCACCTGGGGCTTCGGGCTGGGGTTCCTTCCAGCCGCTCATTTTTCATCTCCAGGGCTGAACCTCTTAATACTTTTGTTGGCAAAAGCAGGAAAAAAAAAAAAAAAAGAGGGAAAAAAACGAATCCAGTAAAAACAGCTGATTCAGATCCGCCGTATCTTGATGTGGCAGAAAGAAATTAGTCGTTGCACGTGGGCTGAGAGAGGTTGTTTGTCCAGGAGAACAGGGGAAGGGAACAGCTTCCTTTCCTTAATTCCTTTCTTTTTTTTTTTTTTTTAAATTTT